TTTTTGAGAAAGTCTCACTCTGTCTCCCAGGCTGCAGTGCAGTGGCACAATCTCCACCTCCTGGGTTCAAGCAATTCTCATGCCTCAGTCTCCCAAGTTGCTGGGATTACAGGCGTGAGACATCACTCTTGGCTAATTTTTGTATTTTTAGTAGAGACGGGATTTCACCATGTTGCACAGGCTTATCTCAAACTCCTGGCCTCAAGCAACTGGCTTGCTTTGGCCTCCCAAAGTGCTTTTCTTAATACTTGTAATTTTTAGTTAAACTAACTGAAGAAGTTCTTATAGCTTTATTTAGACAGAGCTTATTTTATCACATGTAGCTTTTTTGCACATACAAAATAGAAAATAAAAGTGAAGTTAATTGGTTAAGGTAGTCCTAAAACGTGTGTTAGACTTCGTATTCCGGATATGGCTTCAATTCAGTCATCGGTGTGTGTTTTTTCTAATGTTGTCTTCTATGCCATCAAGAGCACTGGTGATGTGCACATTTTAATTTATTCAAAATCTTTCAAACTATGTATCATAAACTTAACAATCTAGCTGCTGACTAGATGGTAGCATCCTCTGTGTGTTTTGTCACCTTTCATGGGATCTAAACAAAAGTGCTTGTGCTGAGATTCAGTAACACTAGAGGGCAGCCTCCAAGTAAAGTTTGAAACAAGCGATAGCACAACTATGCAATAATGTGGCATGTAATAGATAAATAATCTATAATTCAGTTTCTCGGCATTATGATACCAACTCAAATACGGTGTCCCAACATTTTTTAAAAATCAAATCATTCCTTAATTTTTACTTCTAATATGCCTTTAAAATAAGACATCCAAGCAAACAGTTTCATAAAGGTTCTCTAGAACCTTTCTAGATATTCGGTTTGTTAAAGCCCCTTGAAAATAGTTGATTTTTCCAATCCTGTTTTGTTTTCCTTTTGTTACTCAGCTTCTTTTTAAAATACAGAATGAGAATAAAAACATTCATGTTACAAGTTTTATTTAGAAACCCCACAAAGAAAAATGCAACATGAAAGATAAATATAGAATACCCATCTTTTTTAATTTTTATTTTGCTTTAAGTCCTGGGATACATGTGCTAAACGTACAGGGTTGTTACATAGGTATACATGTGCCATGGTGGTTTGCTGCACCTATGAATCCATCATCCAGGTTTTAAGCCCCGCATGCATTAGAGAATACCCATCATTTAAGGATTCTTTTAAATAGTATAAGTATTAGCTAAACTAGTAGAGACATCAAAAGATTCTTCTGGACAACTGTACCGTATCAACACTTAAAGGTTGAAACCATAAAATGAAATTTGTGATTCCCCAATCATCTATGCAATGAAGATTTACTTATTCCTAAGTAAAATATCACTGAACACATTTTCCTGTCCACTATATAAGCGGTGTTCAATTTTAGCACAATGCAGCAAAAAAAGAAAAAAAAAGGCCTAGCTGTCTGATTAACACTGTCTTATTAAATCAACACAATTTAAGCGTTGTGTTTTGTGAACTACATCATCTGTAACATCTCAGTTGCACATGGCAATTTAAAAGATAAATACACATATAAATATGCCCAATATTGAGATGGGGTGAGAGGGAGAACACATGTATATCTAATTTCAGAATTTAAAAACTTTCATAAAGTAAAATTGTTTGGAATGAAATAAACAGGAACTAGGTGGCTCCATATATGCCCCGATTTTTACATGAACAGACCATTTAGCGCTTGGTCCTCCTGCCCATTTGTAACAGTGGTTTTTATAGATGCAATGAACGTGCTTCCGTCTTCCTCGTGTTAGCCACCTCACATTATGGTATGAATCTCCCTAAGGTTGAAGAAAGTGGTCCCAACTGCCAGATCAAATGGCGACAGTTTAAACATACTTAATCTTAAAAACTTTAGCACTCTTTGTGAAGAGCTGAGGGTGAGCACAATAGGACTAGTGAAACATTCTCCCCCGGCCTGAAAGCTTGGGAGGATGAATAACTCCTCCCTCCTCAGGCCCAGTCCCAATGCGCCAGAAGATAGTTACCCCCCTGAGATTGAGAGAGGCCATCAGGGTATCACGTAGCAATTACGTCAGACTGGGACACTTCCTGTTTAGAGGAGACTATAAAACCCCTGCCCCGTCCTCACTTGGGGCTGACGCCATGTTAGGCCTCAGCCTGTCTGCAGCTAGGGTCTCATGAAAACAGCGCATTGCTCCACACCGACCTGTGTTGTTTGTTGGTGTGCTCTCGGAGTTCCGACCAATAAGAAAGCGTTGCAACTAGGTGTTGGACTTTGGTGTTGTGCTTATTATGTGTCACTTAAATACGGTTTATGACAGCAGTTAAATGTTTTGTCTGTAAACCTGGGTTCCTGTCCTGGCCAATGCCACAACCATCCACTCAGCTCCCAAGAGGTGATACCTTGGAACCATTTTTTACTCCTTCCCCTCCCTTACCCGACACATCCAACTGGCCCCAAATCCTGTTGGCTGTACGATGCCAACATACCCAAAATCTGTTTCCTTTCTCCACTCACAGTCCTAGCAGATTTATACTTCTAAAACACGTATCTGGTGACATCATCCTCTTGCTGAAAAGCTTCAGCCACCTGCAGCACCCTGGGCAGAACCCTCCACAAGCTGCCTCAATGCCTCCTCTGTCTTCAGGGCTTCCCCACATCATGTTGTCCCTGTGCTCCAGTCACCAGGAGGGTCCCTTGCTGTTCAGGGGCCAAGTCCTACATTCCCCATCTCTGGGCCTTGCTCCTGCCTTTCCCTTCACCCCACTGTTCCTCCTCCCCCTTGCCTCCCAAATAGTTGAAATGCTTCCTCCTTCAATGGAGCCCAGCCTGATCTCCCAGCTGGACAGAGCCACTTTTCGCCTTCTTAGCATCTTCTGCATTCTGCATTTGGGACAGAGAATAGTCATACCTTACACTAGAAAGATTTTTCACATCTCTACCTTCTTCACTAAAATGTGGGCCTACAGTAGGTACGCAAGCAGTAAATTCTGAACTAGTTCATCGCTGTCTCTCTGCAGTGTGTAGAATTTTTCCTTGCCAAGAGTAGGTGCTAAATATATTATCTATTGAATTAAATTGAGCTGCTGCTTTCACTAGATCTAGTAGCCTGAACCAGAGTACAATGACCTTTGTCAGAGGGAAGATTCACTTAGGTTGTGCCATGCAGTCTATTTCATTCCTTGCTAAAAACGTGTTTGTTTTATAGGTATGAGTTGCAAGTCCCAGGAGGATATTCCTGACAGAGTATCTAATTCAAACTTCTGTCCCTCCAGTTCTACCCTGTGCCAGGGTCAAAACTGCCACCCTTATGTAACTATTTATTTTTATCCCGACCATAAAATAGGACTAGAATCCCAAATAAAATCACCTACCATTTGCCATTTGATATTTCTTAGGGTGACTTTGACTCAAGACCCTAAGAACCTCCAGAGACAGTGAGTGTCCCCTCCTAGCAATGGTATTTCACTGAGAAGTAGGCATTTAGGTCCCGGTTGCACTAAAACCTCAGATGAAATCCTCAAAAAGCTAGTTCTAAACTTGTTCTGTGTCAGGATTCACTTCTGTGTAATAGGAGCCATGTGAGAACAACTAGGATTGGACAATTTTAATACTTTTTAAATTTTAAATACTGAGTAAACAACACAGCGATATGGAGGAGCACAAAACTCAGATTCATATGGTTTGGGACCTTGTCCAGGCCCTTCCCTTACCAGAGGTGTGCTCTTAGGCAAATTACTTGACCTCTTTGAACCTGTTATCTCATCTTTAAATTGGGTGTAATAATACCTATCCTGCCTAACCTGGAGGGTTGTGATAAGACGAAATAAGGCAATGTTTATAAACACACTTTGAAAAATACAAGCACTATATAAACAGTCTTTATTGTTAATAATAACACCATTAAATACAGTCAGTAAGGCTGACTTCTAATTGTATTGTAGAACTCAGCAAGACTAATTTGGGGAAACGTATCTCCTTCCTGGGCAGAACAGCCCTATCTAAACACCTCAAAGCTGGGAGCCAATCTATTCTGTCCCCAACAAGGTGCCACCCAGGAAGGTGTGTTGAGCACTTTAAACATGGCCAAGGAAAAACAATAAAAGATGCAAATACATTATGATTACTTTTCACAGAACAGGCAAGTTAAGACTAAGTATGGTTGACGACTTGCATTGTCCTATTCGTACATTTAAAACGCTTTCATGTTCTACACAGAATTTGCATTTCAATAACAATGTGATAATGTCAAGTTATTCACAACATTTCAAAGGCTTGTCTTGCACACCTGGCATGTTGGAAGATCTGCTGGAGAACTCGATGTAGCTGTTTTCTAGCAGCAAAGGCAATTACATTGTCCTTTTAATTCTTGGGAACGGATGTGTTTGGGCAATATTAACAGGTTTTGTGTTTTGGACACAACAAAATATGAAAACGAAAGCATCACACTCGGAGATATCCCTGGAGAATTAATTAACCAGCATATTGAACATGCTGAACTTCCCCCTCATCACAAATGAGAGGAAACACCTTGTAGATAAAAGTTGACTTTTTAATAGAAACCTTTCCCTGTACTCTGAACATCCCTTTATAATTAAAAAAAATGTATCCAAAAGATGTGTTACCTTTTCTCTTGACTACATATGAAACTACTCTGCTTTTTCTAACTTTTGACATCTCCTCCTTGGACAGAGGTGGGATCATGCAACAGAGAGGACGTTTTTTCTATTAAAAGTAAAGCCATACTGCATGCGGTCAGACACATGCTCTAAAACTTATTTTAGATAACCACTACCCTGGAACACAGTACAGCAAATATTATGAATCAATTTAATTTCGGTAATTTCTCATTAAGGTGCCTACAGATCGGTAGGTCTAATTGTAAAAGCTAAGTATTTATAATTCATAAGCATAATTACACTAAACTAGATGGGTTATATGCTATTAGGGTTTTGTATAAGCTACAAAATAATTGTTCACAGAGAAATTTAATTCATAAATTGGCATTAATATATCTAGCCTTTATTAGACCCTCTAGTTAAAAGTTGAATGTAAATAGCACATTAACATCCTTATTTAGGTTTTTGATATCTGCTCTAAAACTCATGACACAGGAAAAAGTACTTTTAATCAAAAATAAGGCCCACTCTTTCCGGTGTGGAGTCTGGAGACAACGTGCAGAAATGGCACCTCGAAAGGGGAAGGAAAAGGAAGAACAGGTCATCAGCCTCTGACCTCAGGTGGCTGAAGGCAAAAACGTATTTGGTGTCTGCCATATCGTTGCATCCTTCAATGACACTTTTGTCCATGTCACTGATCTTTCTGGCAAAGAAACCCTCTGCCGTGTGACTGGTGGGATGAAGGTGAAGGCAGACTGAGATGAATCCTCGCCATATGCTGCTATGTTGGCTGCCCAGGATGTGGCTCAGAGGTGCAAGGAACTCTGGGCCACAGGAGGCAATAGGACCAAGACCCCCGGACCTGGGGCCCAGTCGGCCCTCAGAGCCCTTGCCCCCTCTGGTATGAAGATGGGGCAGATTGAGGACGTCACCCCCATCCCCTTTGGCAGCACCCACAGGAAGAGGGGTCGCCGTGGTCGCTCTCTGTGAACAAGACTCCTCAAAATATTTTCTGTTAATAAATTGCCTTCATGGAAAAAAAAAAAAAGATGCCCAATTCTCCACATTGTCTACAATATTCCCTAGTTGTTATGTTTAGTACTTTGTAAAGGGTACACTTGGACAATGGAAATGCTACTAGGTCCAGTACTTCTGTAGTATGCTTTTATTTGAAAGAACTGGGGCACCACTTAAAATCTCATTCAATCTTTGGAAGGAATGGCCTCAAATCCAGCCAGAAGCCAGTAAATATCAGCAATTTTGATAGGTAAATTCCTTTAGAATTAGAAATGATTCCTCTGAAGATTCAAATACTCCACACCACTTACAAATTTCAGTTGTTCCCCAAGTGATATTTCATTCTTTGTATGACCATTCTGAAATGATGTAGAATCACATTTTTCATTGTAATGAGAATCTAGTGTGGTTTGCATGCAAGACAAAAGAAGCAAGTTCATGTCACTACTGGCTGAAAATACTCTACCTAAATACAGCCTCCAAGGCATACAAAAGAAAATCTGTAATCAGAAATCATTAATTAAGGTTAATTAAAGTCCACATTGTATTTGACTGACATCCATACAAAAAGTACTCTTTACTTTTCTTAAGGCTACGTGTGCAATGTTGTGTCTAACCCGACACCCAAGAGTAATCACAATCTTGTTATCATTTGAGAGGAGAATGAACTCAATTCAACAAAATTCTTTTTAATGAAAAAAGCTTTGATCTTAGTTAGTCCCACTGTTCTCCTCCATTCCATGTCTTTTGTTGTTGTTTAAACATTTAGCCTATGCAAATACGGTAAAATGAACAGAACCTATTTTCTTACCCTGCTAAATAATCAGGGGTCCATAATACTGAATTTACAAATGCACATTTTCTTTGCTTCTTGGAGATATCTGAGGGGAAGTGGAGAAGGGCTGGGAGATAATTGAAGCCTCTGGGTGAGCCAGACCACATGATCAAAAACTGCTGTGACACTTAAAAGTGTTTCTCCACAAGAAATTCCGGTGCCTAGAAGCCTGGTGAAGCCAGTAGCAATTAAGGCCATGTTATCCTTTTAATTTACTTCACATTATTGGCCTCTAAAATCAATCCTTTAGTGTGGTTGGGTAAGGGATGGGTCAACAAAATAGGCACGTGCATTAAAAATGCTTGTTGATCTTACACAAAAATTTTGGCAGGCTGGATCTGGAGAAATTTAAAACGCTGCTTTGAAGCTCACTCTGAAATAAAAACTAGTCATTTTCTAGTAAAAAGGAAAAAAAATATGACTAATTTTCTAGATTAGTCCCATTTGTAAGGAATTCAAAGTTTCTTCTTCTAAATCAGCCTAGATTTTCATTTATGCTTTACATGTCTTGAATTCAGCACTGTTTGCTTCTAGTGTGAGATTATTTTATGTTTTAATCTACAAAGGAATTAAATTGCTTGGCTTAGACTGGCAGGAGTCCTTGAAAGTCCACTTGAGAAATGGAAACTGAAACATGAAGTGTACCACTATCTGTTACACAAGGCCAAATTTGCCTAACAGAAGCAAGCTGTGTTCTACATCACACGTGAAGCACATAAATCACCGGAATGTGGGTATGTGTATCACCCTCTTACAGCAATTTACTCCCCAAATCCTTTCTTGACCAAGTCACACAACGTATACACCACTGGAGAACATTTTCTAATCAACCCTACAGTCACAAACCTAAAAAAAAAAAAAAAAGCAAAATATTGAAATTATTAAATAAATGAAAAATGTTCATATACTATTCAAGAGTTGACAAAGCAGCAGACCCACCGTCCAAAATGTATGTGCCTTTTGTTGCAAAATACAGTAAAATGGTCTGTGGCTCCTTAGCAATGAGTGTCAAGCGTAAAAAAGGAAAGGTTAAAAACCTGAAGTAAAGCTCTACATGTTTCCATTGCCAAAATAACACACAACACACAGCAATCATGATGTCATTTTATTTATTTAGTAATCTGCAGAGCCAAAACGAAATTATGAAGCTGAAATTTTAAGCAAAGTCGTGAATGCCCTCATTTACCTCCACATTTGTGAATAGCCTTAATGAAGAGTTTGCACCCCTTTGCTTTCTTGTTGAAATATGAAAGTGACATCAGCCTCTGGACTGTATTTTGATTTTTTTTTTTTTTTTTTTTTTTTTGCCAGCAAGACTGAGCAAGAGGCAAATCCTGGAGTAAATATCAGCTGGATGTGCACATAACAAGGTCCAGGGAGACACTCTCAGAAGTTGCCTCTTTTAATCCAACACTGAATTATATGAGAAGCGGTTTTCAGTTTTTCAGAGCACAACTGCCAAAATAACTGCAAGGCTTGCAAGCCCTAGTATATCTCAAACCTTTCCCAAGACACCCCAACACTATCTGAGGCACTGAAACTATGGCAACCGAATAAGAAAGCAGCCTCCATGATTAATAGATGAAGATCCCAGCGACAGTGTCTAGCTAGGGCCATCATTCATGATACAAGAAGAATTAGCACAGAATCCATCTCGAAAACCATTAACAAGTATTCTTATAAAAATCAACTCCACTGCCATTCTGCCACGTATACTTGAGTTTAGAATGCTATAAACAATTTGGTTTCTATTTATCACTCACTATGCAGGAATGAGAATGTTCTTAGAAACTCAGATGCTCATGTTTTAAAAATAGTGAAAGGCTTAATAGAATGGTTTTCCACCTGGGTATTTGAGGCCTAAGAACAAATACATTGAAAAACCAAAATATGTGAATGAAGTCAAGTGGCTCTCTGGGTAGAAAGGCGGAGGGACAGTTGTTGAATTGTTTTGAGTGTTTTTTTGTGGAATGCAATTTTGTGTAAAGCATTCCATTTTCAGGAAAGGAACATTTCCATTCAGCAGCTCAATCAGTATTCTCTCAGTTTCCTCATTCAAGGACAGTAGGAGTCTGGGGGAGGGGCAGGGAAGTGCTGAAGTCGCTGCAATATTAATGAAAAGATTGAATATTCTTCTTTAAAAAACGAATCAGGAATAGGAACAGGGAAAGAAGAATGGATCCATCACAGAGAGCTTGTCTGTAAAACTCTCATAGAACATTAAACCATAATTAATACAATCTTTATTTCTTCCCAGTCTCTAACAATGTTTATTTTCCAGTGGCATGTTTTCATTGTATTTAATGCCAGATCCTGTTCTGTTCTATAAATGCTTCAAATCAAATCATGGCCAAAGGCTGGTCTTTGAAGCGTAGAGGGGCAAAAGGGCTAAGAAAGGGGTGAACAGCACCAATTTTAGAGCTGCTTCTGCTAAATTTTTTTAATTGGCATGGGTTCTTTGAATTTAATTTTCTACAGATGACAATTATAGGTTAGTTGGAAATTCCTAGAGAGCACCCAGGAATATTAAAAGAAAGCTTCAAGTCTAAAGGCTGCATGAGGAAATATCTATTACTAACAATACTTTCAAAGCAACAGTCACCATACCGGCTGCTAAGAAGGATCTGAAACTTCAGTCCTTGCAGCATGTTAATTACTGATTTATCTCACACTCTTTCCATTCCCTTTCCACTTACAGAGTTTGAGAACATTTTATTTCCTACATGAAAATAACTGTAACTCTAAGCCATGGAGGCATTCCTAGAAAACATAATGGTAGCAGGGAATTGTGGTGATAACATCAATTTATTTCCCCTTCAGCTGTGCCTTTTAGAAGTCAGATTTTTCTCACTGATAAGAACTTGTATGACTATCATTTGAATCAAATTTCAGGTTTTGTAGTAGTGTGTCTGTCAGTAGAATAACTGCTATCTCTACTGGGGTCAGCCAATTATTTCCTGCCTTTGGTGTAGAAGGCAGTAGTTTGCTTTTGCTGGGAGATTCACACTCTAACAAACTGATTTCAAGCTTGGCCAGGGAAGAGTGACTTGGCAGATGCATGGCCACCCTGAAGACCTTCTTGCAGAAGGCCTAGCCACAACCTCCTCAAGGGTTCCAATCAGCAGCCGGGTTTCTCTCCTAAGACAGGTGTGGTCCTTGGGAATTCAACTCATCCCTAAAATAGTCATTATGGGTTGAATTCAGATTCTAAACGTAGGTGCAGAGTGTACATTTTCTCACTAAAATGTTAATAAGTGACAGCTATCATTTTAAAAAAGCTATCCCTTGGGCTCCTATTTGATATAAGACTCTGCTTCTTGTTATTATTACTTTTTATATACAGTGTTTTTTTCCTTCCATGTTTCGGGTGTGATATTTCAAATTCCAAAGTTTCCCTGCTTCCTGTTTCCCTGCAAGTGTCGTGTTCACATGCTCCTCAACTTAAAACCCAAGACATTATGGCCTGTTTATGGTATGAATGTTTATTTCTAGTCCAAAGGTTGTTTCCTTTTGCATCATCTCTTTATATTACAGATTCAGAGCCATTTCCTTTTGTACTATTTCCCCTGCCCCCCACAATAAAGGTACTATCTGCTTTTTCAAAATCCATTCCTAGGGCATTTTTCATAACTACTCTTACTCAAGTAAAAATAATACCTTATGTTGAATGACTGCTTGTTGTGTGCCCAGCATTGTGACATGCATTTTACAGATGTTACTGTGCTATGCATTTTAAAGATGTTATCACATTTATTCTTCTCAGAACCATAACATTATCATCATACAAGCACTTTGCAAATGAAAACTGAAGGAGAAAAGAAACTGGCTTAAAGTCCCACTGTTAGTAAATGGCAAAACAAATCCATGTATATTGTCTGTCAAAAAAGCATGACTTCAGCAATGCCTCTAGAGCTGTCCACTACATTCCCTCCAACACTCCCTTCACATTTATTAACTTCATGCCACAAAATCTAATGAATTTGGCCTTGTTACAGCAAAGATGGAAACTTCTAGTAGTCCTAGTTCACCCTGACATATCTGTGTTACATTAATGATTACATTGATTTGAACTATTTCAGAATTTAACTGAGCAAAAACAATTACCTTACTTTTAAAATAATTCCTGGCAGAGTGGCACTCCCATGACCTTGCCTGATTTAATGACCATGTTGAAAGCAATGTTTCCTTGACATGGTTGGTGTTCTAATTAATAAAGTTGCTATCCATGCTCTAAGTGAACTGTACAATTTCAATGAATTCAAACATATTATTTAGTTGCATGATGTGATTTACACTAAAACTACATGAACAGTGTATATTCTTCTAAAAATAATTTAGAAGATGAAGTAGGATCTCTGTTATATCCAGGGTCTGGAGTGGGAAAGAGGGGGTTAACATCAAACTTCCCAAATTTCCAGAGTGCGTGTAATATTTCGCTAAATACATTCACATTCATGATTTCGTATTCTCCCAGCAATCCTATAAGTTGGGAAGAATAGGTTTACTATTCACAATTTTCAGTTAAAATAATGCAGCCTCAGGGAAGTTAAGTGATTTGTCCAAGGTAGTAAGAGTCTGGAACCCAAGTCTTCTTGACTCCAAGTGCAGAATCCTCAACAGCAGATATACTGTATGGGTACGGGGAAGAAACATGGGTTAATAAAGTATGCTATATTCTCCTGACAGAAAGTTGAATTTTAAAACTACTATTAGCAAACTCCAAAAAAACAAGAACATTCTGTGGTCAGTGGTTAGAATGCAGAACAAATGAGGCCAGGGTCAAAAGCTCAAGCCCCATAAATGCTGGCTGTCTTCTTAGCTCTGTTTCCTGGCAAGTTGATTTTACCTAACTCAGACTCCCTCCAGTTACAACCAGGTGTCTCACAGATGTGTGCTCTTGGACACAGGAGGGGACTGGGTGAGAGTGTGGGAATGAACAGGCTCCAATCCATCACTACCACTGGAAAAACAACACAGTGAATGTTCCACTAATGATGCATGAGCCATACCACCTATGTGCTTGGAAGATTATACACACACACACATTCATGCATGAAGTATCTCATTTGATAAAAACATGATATAAAAGGCAGACAAAATAGATAAAATAAAGACTAGTTGTTTGCAAAAAAAGATTCACTGTTTATTCATTCAACAAACACTTGTTATGGATGGCCCATGATGTGCCAGGCACAGTTTTAGGTGCCAGAGTGAATAAAACCTAAAAATGTCTATCCTTATGGCATTATGTTCTAGTGGAAGACAGAAAATCAACAAGGACAACATATAGTTTGTCAGACTGTGAAAAATGCTAAGAAAAAAATAAGGACTGCCAAGCAGTGGGGAGTTCTGTGGGAAAGAGTAAAGTAAATAAGGGGATCAAAAGGCTTCACTGAGAAAGTGACATTTGAACAGAGACCTGAAGAATGTGAGAAGCAAATCATGTAGCTATCTGGGGAAAGAACCATCCCAAGGCATGAAAGAGTAAGTCCTTGCAAAGGCCCCCAAGTATATGCCATGCTTGACAAATTCAAGGAAGCCCAAGGGGTGGAGGTCAGAGAGGCGGGAGCCTGAGTGCAGATCATGTGGGGCTGCAAAGACCAAAGGAAGGACTTGGCTTTTATTGGAATAAGATGGGAAAACATCTGAGCAGAGTAGTGATCTGATAGGGCTTAGTTTAAGAAAAAATCACTGCTGTGTTTTGCCTGTTGCATTAAAAAAAGAGCAGAGGCAGGAAAGCTAGTTGGGAAGCTGGCATGAAAACCTAGCAGGAGAGGACCATGGCTTGGCCAATGTGAGGGCCACACAGAGGAGGATCACCTGAAGGAAGCCGGCAGGCATTCTGAAGGTGGAGCCAACAGCATGGCAGCCACCATGGATGTAGGTGTGAGAGAGAAGCTTCAAGGAGAACTAAACTCAGGCCAGCAACTCAAAGAATGGAGTTGCCATTTACTATGATGGAGAAGATTATGAGAAAGGCAGATATGGGGGAGAAAGATACAGAATTAGGTTTTTTAAACCTAAATTTGAGACCTCTATTAGGTTCAGGAGGAGCTGCCTACCCACTAAGCGCTGGTTTTTTGTGAGGTCCAGGAGAGAGGTCTAAGCTGAAGAGGTTACTTGGGAATCATCAGTGTATTATGGTTTGATATGATACCCTCTATTGGTGTAAATGGAATTATTGTAATAAAGTTTTGCAAGAGCTCATCTGTTTCACAAAGCAAGATACCCTTGTGTATAGACTATATGCAACAGTCCCATGGTCAGAAGTCCTGAACTCCTCCCCTTGAGGTTTGTGTGGTATGACATCTCATTTGCTCTTTTCAAAGGGATTAAATGCCTCCCTCCTTTCTCCACCTTACCATATCCCCAAGAGGCAACCATGTGGTTGCCAGCAGAGAATAGCTCAGTTGCTCTTGCAGCACATTTTAAAGCAGATGAGAAAAGCCTTCATGCTGAAATAGAAATATCTCAGAGAAAACTTGGCTCCAAGGCATCCCAAGAGAGTGGGGGGTCCTGATATGGGAGGGCCCAGCAGAATGCTTCAAGGCATCACCTTCCTCGACATGCACAAATGTGGCTGCCATAACACAAAGCTCCTATATAAATATGTCAAGGAGCACTCGTCTACTCTAGGAGGACAGAAAATTGTCTAAACCTAAAGAAGGGTGTGGAGAGGGGCAGTGCGGAGATAGGCTTTCCTAGGCATTGCCTTACACAAATGGCAGATGCCTAATTAAAGCATTTGCAATTAGCTTAGCTTGTTCTGTGATTCCTTCCTGCAAACAAATAAGATGGAGAGACTATATTAGCTCTTGGCAATCTAGTTCTAAAAAAACTTTCATCCCATCATCACTCTTTTGTCCCGTTCTGAAAAGAGCTGAACCACAATGTACACAGAATAAACTATCTGACTTAACTCCTGGTTCAAAATAGTATTTTTCCTTCCATTTCATATAGGAGTAAAGCATGACTACTTATTTTGAATCTAATACAAGTTCTTAATTTGGATGCCTTATTTTTATTTGGTGAAGATAACAGTCTTCCTGATTCTCGCTATGCTTCTGATTCAACACATTAGACTTCACTGTGCAATGTTACCCGCCTACTCAAAATACAATTGCTGTATGTGTTTAATGTTGGAAAAAGCATTTACTAAATTTTGGAAGAACTTGAGGGGTGTGTGTTTGTGTGTAAATAAAAAGGTGCACTTATTGATGCCTTGTAATAACCACTCACTTGATGGCATATATATTTTTTTCACTGTAGGGAAAATAAAGAAGTCCACTCTGAGTGGAAAAACTATTTCATTCATTCGACATTTACTTGACTGTTCTACAGTGATTCTTACAAAATTTTAACCTATTTAAGAGTAGTTGTTATGTCCAGTAAGTATATTCAGCTGACGGCTCCTCAGAAATGATTTTCGGTATCTGCTTAACATTTACATATGTGGATTATATGTGTTATTGAGAATGTAGCACAGCTCTAAAAGGTGATAGCTGCAAAACCTAACATATGGGGAAGGTTGTCACCCACAAACACTGTAAATAAGAAACATAAATAAAGTAGAATGCTTCTTTACAACAAGTTGAAAAATGACTTCTAACACAAAAGTAAGATTTTAAATTTGATGTTCATTCTTTCCTGCTTTAGACTGGTTTGCAAAGTGCCTCATTCAAGAACGTCCTAAAACCAAAATAGTAACAGGGAGCAAGGGTTACTCAAGATTCAAATAAAAATTACCATACACACAAGCATGGGTAAACAAAATTCAAATAGCTAGTGCAATTATTTTTTAATAGATAGTTTAGGTTAATAGGTGGAGACATAGTTCTGCCACTGTATTTAAGGTTAGGTTAATAATTAACTTTGGTGCCTGGAGTAGTTTAATCAAAGCTTAGTGTAAATCATAAAACTGCTCCATGCAGACTAAGCACAGCATTAAAAAGTCATACAAAATTCTTGCAATCTTGACCTCTGGTAGCCATTTGGGTATGGTGTAATAAAGTGTAGAGTATTTTCATTCAGAATTAAACATAGGCATCTTTACTTTGGGGAGAAAACGTAATTAAATAATTAATTAAACCACCAGTCTTCCCCGCCATCACTGTAGCGTACCACGGACTCCATGCCCAAGATGTGTCCACCAGGGGAAGGACGACGAACAATTTCAGGACTAAAGAAAGACAAGGCAAAGGCACTCGACCTTCCCATCCTGGAAAGACTTAAAAGCCAGCGCTGGGGGGCATTAAATAGCTTTTCTGAGACCTGTTGGCACAACACTGCAAGTGGATTAAATGGCTTTTCAGATCTGAGGTAAAGAAAGTTGTGCCTACAAGCGCGAGTGTGTGCGTGTGTGCGTGTGTGTGTCCTTGCGCGCCTGTGTTTTAAACCTTTCACAGATCGCATTCAGTAGCGTAAAAAAGCTGAGCGCAAAAAAAGGAGCGATCCCACTGTGGCTGTGCCTGGCCACCGCAGTTCCAAAGCAGCCACCTTTCTCTCCAAGACCGACGCGGAACAGCCTGCAGGGCTCCCCATTGCGATGCAGGCCGGAGGCTCCCTGGAAGTGCTTGCCCTGGCTGTGAAGACAGCGCCTCCAGTCTCCCATCCTGCCCCGCTCCACGCACACCTGGCTCTGCTTCGCCCCTCCCTGGAGAGACACACTGGGAAATCGTGCGCGGGGCGCAGATGGCTCGGGATGCTGCGCTTGGAGCTGGCTGTTTGCAAGCCAGCAAGTCCCGGCCTGTGTCCACACGCACCTTCGTCACAGCCTCTGTCCACAGTGGCCGCACCTGCCTCCAGGTCCTGCTTCCCCATCCATCCCTTCCCCGACTTGCCCAGCAAGTACTGCGGGCCAGGAGGTTCCACTCTCCAAAGGGCCGGGTTCTAGCTCCTAGCTGCATCCGGAGCTGTCCGCATGATTCCCTCCAGGTCCAGCTTCCCTCAGACTGCACACGCTGAGCCCCAATCCGGTCGTGCCTGCCGCCTGGCTTTCAGGGAAACTTTCCAGAAGCGCCTGGTCTACTGACCCCGCCGCTGTAAAGTGGGAGGAGGCGCTGGGCGGAGGGGCGGCGAGGGAGCGGGAAAAACAGCGGAATCCCGTTTCCTTTCCCGACGTCCACAACTACCGGACGGCTCCCTGGCTCCCCCCGTACCGCTTGGGTCGTGCGAGGAGGGAGGAGACCTCAGGATCCTGTTTTGCACTATCTCCCCAGCGAGGAGCTGAGCAAAACGCGGAGAATCGGGACAAGAGACACTTCCCGCCCCATCAGGATCAGGCAGGGTGGGTGGGCACTACCCCGCTTACTCTCCAGCGCCCCATTGCTCCCATGGCAGCGCCCTAGGACACAGTGAGGAGTCGGGACAGAGCCCTTGTCTGGGTTTCAAACCCAGGGCCATCTCCTGCCAGGTCTCTCACCCTTCCCCCTCCTGGGTCATCTTTCCAGAGCGAGACCGCGCTGATCCAGGAGGAGGGCGTACCGTGCGCCAGCCCGGTGCAAAGGGCTCGGTGTCTCATGAGGGACGCAGTCGCGACGGGCTATATCCTTGCAGCTCGAGTTGGGAGCTGCGGAGGAGAACAGGACCCAGGGCGGGGGCGCCGCGTCACCCGAACGGCTGCTCCCGGACACTTATTCGAGCAAACAAAGCCTGGAACCTCTGGTGGCAGCGGCCACAGGAGCCAGGATCTCACCAAGAGACAGGGCGCGCGGGTGCCCAGGGCCATTACAAGTTTCTCGCACTCCACGGAGCCCAGCCCAGACCCCACACTGACAACAAAAGATTCTCTCCGCTTCCACACCGTCTCCGCGGAACCCCTTCTCCCACCTGGCTCTGGACGAAAACAGCGCTGTTCTACCCAACCCCCTCCAGCCCTCGAGGGCAGAACCCCTTCCTCCGCCTTCGACACCGGGCCAGGGAGCTTCCGAGAATCCCACCCTCTAGAGCCCGCTCTGCTCCCTGCTTGGCCCGCGTGAGAATGAGCCTTGGGTCTCGCACACACACACACCCCCGGGAGGAACAGCCATACGCGCCGTCGCGGCCCGGGGCGGCGCCGGGCGTGTGCGCAACGCGGGTGGGAAAGCTCTCGACTTGTAGCCGGGCGTACTCTGGGGCGCGGGGCTTGGAGGAAAGGCTGGCAGGGCTCACGGTTCCCCCCCAGGACCGGGCAACGCTCGAGAAACAGAGACACAAGACAAAATAAAACGCAGGCACCACAAAGCCGACAGCACGCGCTAGCCACGGCCCCGGAACCCTCAGGCTGGAGTTCTGCTGCCCGGGAGGTGGGGAGCGCCGGGGCGCCCGGGCCGTACCTTTTCGGTGCATCGACGGACAGGCGGCCGGGGCTCGGAGCGGACTGGTACAGCGTGTATCCCATTTAGTAATCCATTATCGAGGGGATCTCTCCGGGCCGCGGGCTGCGCTCTCTCCTTCGCAAGCCTTTGTCATTCCTACATGTGTGCTTGTCTCTTTGGGGGAAATAGTCGCGGCGACTACTTTCTGGGATGCAAACGCGATGTGTTCATCTCCAATGACGAGCGGAGAAGGGGAGAGGAAAAAAGAAAGAAGCCAAAAAAAAAAAAAAAGAAGAAAAAGAAAAAGAAAACAAGGAAGAGGGTAAATGTTCAAGAAACTCTTCTCCAAATGCAAATTCCACTTGGATTCCACTCCGGTGAGTCCCCTTGGTGGTGTCTGCGCCGATTAACAAGTCATTTCAGGGCGGGGGGTGGGGCGGGGGCTGGGGCAGGGGTGCAAGGCTCTGGCCCGGCTCTGCGGCCGGGAGCGCGGTGCCGCGGGTGTGGTGATGCTGGACGCTGCTACACGCTGCTAAGCGGGCATCGCGGGCGACCGGCACCGCGGAGGAGCGCCGCTGCTGGGTCCCGAGCGCCTGGGCAGCCGAGTGCGCGGGGAGCGGAGTTAGAGGCAGCCTCACCCCGTGCCGCTCACTACTCCTCTGTCACCGGAGAGGCCGCCGCTCCCGGGCGGAGCCAAGTCCCGGACTGGATTGCGCAGATCGGACTCTCCTCCCGCTACTCCGCCTACTTTGGCTGGCGTCTCCTCCGACCCAAAGGAGAGCTGTGGTGTATGTGAGTGTGAGCGAGCGAGGCAGAGGTGGGGAAACTACGCAGGTGGAGCCTTGGACCAACTGGCCAGCGCCGCTTCCTTCCACCAGGATTCCTGGCCCCACCGCGCGCTAGGCGGAGGCTCAGCGGGGGCGACTCCGGCTGGAGCCCAGCCCTCACCTCCCCCACCCCCACATCTGCTCTAGCTAGGAAAGGAAAAAAAAAAAAAAATCCCGGGCAGCATTGCTGAGTCCTGCCAAATCAGAAAAATAAATAAAAATAGACGTAGTGCAGGAGCGAGTTACAAGAAAGGTTTTGTTCATCGATTTTCTTAAATGGAAAAGTTTTAAAGGATGAGGGTAAGTGAACGGCGAGCCTTTCTGATTCTGATTACTGTTATCAGGAGGTAGATTCCAGAAGCGATGGACGCTCTACGTAGCTAGAAGAATTGGATAGAAGCCGGTGCGGTTAAATATACACTTGGAAGATAAGAACACAGCTATTAGTTACGCACATACACACGTTAATAAAGCATGTGAAGTAAGCAAATAAACTACAGTGTAGAGAATGGAGTTTTTAACGAAGGCGATCTATCTTAAAACTTCTTAAAGTTTACATTGTGTGGACTGGTCTTAGAAATAAGTAAACTTCAGAAATAACACGCAAACAATTCCAGTGAGAACCCAAAAGCTTTATGGAAGAAGAAAATCGCAACCACTTCCAAGGCGCTATTGTTATGATCACACGAAGAATGGCAGGCACTGCCTTCTTTCACCACTTGAACTTTCAGTAGCTACAAAGTCTTGCAGTTACAGGCTTGTGCCAACTCGTCGGGTCACACCACGTTCCCCTCCCCCTACCGCTGCGCCCCGAAAGCAACTGCGCGCCGCGACTCTTGCTCCCCAAGGGGTCTTCGCCGATGGTGAGGACCTCAGTCGCAACCTTTAAACAAAGTAACACCGGGCGACCCAGCAGTTCTCGGAGAGATATTTACTGGTCATGGAATTGGCTGAGAAAAGCCAAGTGCGGAGGTCGGGGTCCCAGTCCCACTTAGGCCGAGTTCCTTTATATTGGAAACTGTACCTGTTCCCTAATTGGGACTAGGACCACTAGTAAGTCCATGTTCCCTTTTCTGTCGCTTCTGCAAGTACAGACATCTGCTCAAGAGGCTTCACGAAGAATAAATGCACACGGGTCAACACCTATTTCCCCCCACCACTACCACCACCTGGAAAAGGTAGGGAGAATGGTAGGGAAAAAAAAGAAGAAAAAATAAGGACTTCTGCTGTTCTCCAGAACTGTCAGCAGGGGCCGCTATCCCCACCTTTCCCGGGCAAAGGCCGCTACAGACCTGGGGTAGTGGGGGGGCGCGGCCCTAGGTGCGCGCGCAGCCCCCGCGGCTCCGAGAGACGGCCTCGGGAGGGGGTTGGGGAGTGTGGAGCGGTGGGTAGGATTGCGCATTCCCGCGGGTTGGGTGGGGGCCGGCTGCGGGACGTCTCCTCAGAATCCCGCGGGGTTCGGAGAAGGATCTGGAGGCCAAGACGGCTCGATACCCGGCTGCGCTATTTAACACCCAGATTTTGGCTGATGACTGCCGGGTCAGTGCGAGCTGGTCCCCTAGCTCGTCCGTGCGCTCCAGGCGCGGTACTGCTGCCGGGTAGTCCGGCCCCTTTGGCCTCCGGGGTTTTCTGTCCCGCGCTTCACCCAACCCCGGTCGCCGAGGCTCATTCTTCGCTCCCCGCCGCTGATTTACATGCTAATTGTGTCTGGGAAAAGTTCTTTAATTGGTAGAATTAGGCAGAGCAAACGAATTGTTTCACAGGCCGAACCAAATTAATTTCGAGTTTAGCTCCTTCCCTTAGAGAAACAAATAATTAGGTTGTTTCATTTGCTTTATGGATATACTGGAAATGCCCCACAACGAGTTTCCGGATATTGTTTAAAGGGACATTATTTTTAATATTAATACTTGCATGTTTACTTTGTAGTAACGCTGAGCCAAGAAGCGAGCGGTTAAATTTACCTCATTTAAAATTATAACATACGAGAGTTAAATAATTGGAGTCTACTTTTCACGGTGAAGAAATACCCCCCAGAATCTTCCTAGCACTCGCTAGATCCTAGTCTCACCATCCAAGTAGGAGCCGGTCCTTCTGACCACGTGATATTACATTTCCACCTGCCAGAAGAGATGCTCCCGGAGCTGGAAGAAAAGCCAGCTATTGTCAGGCTCCCGAAACCCTCAGGGGAGCACCTGTGGGGAAGCCAGGCGATGAAATCTCATGATGTCATTTTCCCATATGTGCGCCTCAGACTCACTTCCAGAAGCCTGCCATACGTTTTCAGTAAAACCACTGCCCCTTGAAAGCCTTTGAAGTCTGCAATTTATACCCTGTCCCTTCAGGGAAAGAAAGCCAAAGAGTTAAAGAATCACAGAGTGATTAGAAGGAGACTTCACTGTGTTTTTTAAAGTGACATAAAATGCAGTGTTTAAGGCCCCGGTCTCTGGAGGCTATCTGCGGTTAATGTAACTTAGCTGGTGATCCTGGGCAAGTCACTTATCTCTCTGAAGTCCCAGTGAATTCACCTGTAAACGGGGATTCTTACTCTACTCACTTCCTTAGGAGCCTGTGGATTACATTAGATGGTCTTTGTAAATCTGGAGTCTGAGGCATACACTGCTTTGTAAAGGTTAAGTGTCACATTGTCATTCTTGCCATCCTCCACATCAGTCCTACCATCACATTTTACGGGAGTCACATGGTGGCCCAGCGGAAAGAAGTGGCTTGACCTGTGTCAGTGATTGGGTCAGGGCTGAAAGCTACCTGTAACAACTCCTCCTCCCCTTCTTAAATGCCTGCATGACAGTTCCTGCTTTCTTCAGATCACCTGGAAAAGTGTGGAGGAAGATTAAAATAGAAAGATAAACTCAGGTTCCTGGTAAAGACCACATCTAGCTGTTGGATCAGAATCTCTGCTTTGAGACAAAAAGGAGTAATGAACTTGGGAGAAGGGGCTGCTGCTACTCAGTTCCTTGAGGGTTCATGGGGGCACACTTGGAGAGCACAGTTTGTACATTCAGGCCATTATCATTTATCATCGAGAAACCTATCTGTACCCTCAGCCCCTTCTCCAGAGTTCCCTCCACCTCTTTGCCTTAAGTCAGTGGTTTTAAAATCCACTTGCACATTAGATGACCGGGGAGCTCTTCAGTGATGCAAATCCCCAGGCTCAAGATTCTCATTCATCAAGAAGGACTGGGACCTGGGCATGGGTAGGTTTTAAAACTCCATAGATGATTCTCATTTGCAGCCAGGGATGAGAACCACTGTCACATTAAATCCTGGCTGTGTTCTAGACCAATTACTTGTCCCTAGCCTTTTCTTGTTCGGGGCTGTTTCTTCTTCTTGTCCCTTTATTCCTCTTCACAAAGAAAATGAGGTCCATGTCCTTGCTTCTCATGCTGCTTTCAGGCTGTTTCTCCTCCTCTAAAAACCTCTGACTCACCTCGGTAGCTAAACTCTACAAATACATTTGTGGTCTCATTTTATCAAATTCTTCAAAGACTTTATTTTCATCCTATCTGTCCCTCTACCTGTCATCACTCATGGTAGTGTTAGCATCCATATAACCACTGACCCTCTGGTTTTTCCATTTCTTGCCTTATTCATCTACGTTGTCTTTCTACTCGCCTCCTCCAGGCTTCATGCTGGGCCCCATCTTCCAGATCACTAATTCTGACATCCTGCTTTCCAATCACTTCTTCTCCTTCAATCTTCCTTGCTCATGCAGCCCCCCTGCATTCACTCTGATTTCTTGAGGACCTCCAGATTGTGGGTTTTGCTTCTCTCCCGATCCACCTATTCTCTCCTTTTTTCATTCCTCTCTTTGTCTAGCATAGCTTCATAGTATCAGTTCCTCTCTCTTGCAAATACTCCATTTGCTGCTCTATCTTTTGGTCAACATCTATGTGACTAAAAGCTAGTTCTGAAGTGTGTAAACATCAGCCGTCTCTGCTCCTGAACTAGGCAGCTGAAGCCTGCTGGAAAAAAATGTCGATAGGTTGTTATCAACCTCAGTCTCATCCAAAGCACCGCCTTATCTCAGTTAGTTTCTGACTTTCTCCCCTTAACCAGCTGTCTCACCCTTCATGCCTCATACTTCCCTGAAAAAAGATAACCGTCTATCAGAAGGGAACATTTTTGCTTCTGTACTTATTATTTTTTTCTTCTCTCTCTCTCTCTTTCTCTTTCTTTCTTTCTTTCTCTCTCTCTCTCTCTTTCTTTCTCTTTCTTTCTTTCTCTCTCTCTCTTTCCTTCTTTTTTTTTTTTTGATGGAGTTTCACTCTTGTTGCCCAGGCTGGAGTGCAATGGCACAATCTTGGCTCGCTGCAGCCTCTGCTTCTTGGGTTCAGGCAATTCTCCTGACTCAGCCTCCCAAGTAGCTGGGATTACAGGTGCCTGCCACCATGCCTGGCTAATTTTTGTATTTTTAGTAGAGATGGGGTTTCACCATGTTGGCCAGGCTGGTCTCAAACTCCTGACCTCAGGTGGTCTGCCTGCCTTGGCCTCCCAAAGTGCTGGGATTACAGGTGTGAGCCACTGTGCCC